TGTCAGATCCACACTTTCACTTCTACACACTTTGACTCACACTTTGTTCTATGATGAAATTTGTGTTTGAATAAATAACTTTTATGGCTCATTAAAGACACAAACTACTACTAAAGTGTTAAATTCTGCTGTTTATTTATTGCAGTTTGGAACCATATTGTATGTTTAGAATAGTTGTTTGAACATTTTGCTTTATTGAAATAGTTTCAAAATGATCGTTTATTGTCTGTACTATCATCAACAATATCGTCCTACACAATATGTTTGTAACAGTCTAACTTCTACAAGTTTATTTGTCTTCTAAGATCCAAGTCTGGACCAGGTCTAAATAAAAATATTTAAAAATATATCAGAGTTAGGGGGCTATAGGAACAAAATGTTTCACTTACAAATTTGAGCATTCACAAGATGAAAATCTATTATTATGTTTTACTTCATTTGAATCATTTAATTTTTGTAGCTGATAGTTTTTGTGTTTTGAGTCTGAAGCTCTTAAAATGATGCATTTTATAGATATATATTCAGACTCGGTTCCTCTGGGAAAGATAAGTTTAAAAGACTTTATAAAACACGCACAGAAATCATAGGCCTGGACTTTTTACAAAAGCTTTTTAATACTGACTAGTATGAAAAACAGCATGTCATCATAGTAAAAGAACTATGGGGTCACTTTTTGTCTTATTAATATTCACAAATACACAGAGATTGATCTACACATCTATTTTGGTCTTTACAAATAGATCTGTATTTGTAAATATCTTTTCTTCATTTGAAAAAAAAAAAAAAAAACTGTAAAACTGAAAATTTTACTAAATTGGTGGATCACCAATTACACAGATTTCCTCTGACACATTTTTAAGACACTCCTTTGAGAAATCCACAAACACACGCAGATGCACAAAATACACAGGCGTCCACTAGAGGGCAGTGTTGTTATTGGCGTTAAGTTGCAGTTTTTCTCCGTTGGTTTGGCTCATTTCTTGAAACAGAAATTACTTTCTTAAAACTATAAGATCCTTCTCGGTTGCTTTTGCTCATTTGCATTCACTTTGTGCTTTTGTCAAAATAACCTGGATGGTTCAACACAACACCATGGATCATCTGCAAAAGTTCAGATCTCTCCCAAAACACTTTACCCAGGTGTCCCGGTTTGTGTTCTAGTTTAGTCCTGGTTTAGACCTGGTTTAGTCCTGGTTTAGTCCTGTTTAGTTTAGACCTGGTTTAGTCCTGGTTTTAGACCTGGTTTAGTCCTGGTTTAGTCCTGTTTAGTCCTTGTTTAGACCTGGTTTAGTCCTGGTTTAGACCTGGTTTAGTCCTGGTTTAGTCCTGGTTTAGACCTGGTTTAGTCCTGGTTTAGACTGGTTTAGTCTTGTTTCCTGGTTTAGACCTGGTTTTAGTCCTGGTTTAGTCCTGTTTTAGACCTGGTTTAGTCCTTGTTTAGACCTGGTTTAGTCCTGGTTTAGTCCTGTTTTAGACCTGGTTTAGTCCTTGTTTAGACCTGGTTTAGTCCTGGTTTAGTCCTTGTTTAGACCTGGTTTAGACCTGGTTTAGTCCTGATTTAGTCCTTGTTTAGACCTGGTTTAGACCTGGTTTAGTCCTGGTTTAGTCCTGGTTTAGACCTGGTTTAGACCTGGTTTAGTCCTGATTTAGTCCTTGTTTAGACCTGGTTTAGACCTGATTTAGTCCTTGTTTAGACCTGGTTTAGACCTGGTTTAGACCTGGTTTCGTCCTGGTTTAGTCCTTGTTTAGACCTGTTTTTTTTTTTTTTAATATATGTTTATTCATTTCATTAGAGATATTAAGTGTCCATTTAGCTATTTACCCAAGTAGACATCCATATATCACACATTTTATACATACATATATATACATACACACCTACACATACATACATATATACATACATACATACATATATACATACATACATACATACATACTCTGTATTCATTTACCTTATGTTCATAACAATACTCCTTATTTGTTTATTGGTTTATATACGTGTGTGGACGCATGCACCCACCCACACACGCACACATATACATACATATACACATTTAAATCCGTGCACCTATATACATATAGGCACATATCCATACATATACATATATTTCATTTAAATTTTTTTTTTTAACACTTCATATTATAAAGGCAGAGCCTAATATTATATCTATTTTATATTCTCCTTGTGTGTGTATATATACATACATACACACACACATATATGTACATATACACATATACACACATACATATATATATATATATATATATATATATATATATATATATATATATATATATATATATATATATATATATATATATATATATATATATATATATATATACATATATATATATATATATATATATACACACATATACATACACACATATACATATATATATATATATATACACACATACACACATATACATATATATACACATACACACATATACATACATACACACACACATACACACACACATATATATATATATATATATACTATATATACATATATACACATACATACTTATATCTACACTCATATTTTTCCCTTTAATCCCTTCCCCCAATTAATAACCCCTCACCAAACTAAATAAATAAAAATCACATTATGAATGAATAAACACACACATACACATTCATACATATTCACTCACTCACATACACCCATGCACACATCAAAGGTAGGATATACATTATCTTGTTTCTTGTTTTACCGGTGCCCAGAACTCCTCAAATTCCTTCATTTTAAATCGCAGTCTTGCTGTTACTCTTTCCATTTCCATCACATCTTTAACCCTTTCCCACCACTTTTCTTTAGTAGGAGGTTGTGGTTTTAGCCAGGACACAGTTATCTTTTTTTTTGCTATTGTACTTAATATTAAAATATTTTTTCTATTTTTTGAAGATATAGTGGTTGGTACAATACTCAATATAAATAATTGAAGATCTAAACTTAGTTTTTCTTTACAAATACTTTAAATTTTCTTTTTTCCATTGATCCAGTAGTCTCTGATTAGGGGACAATCCCATAATATGTGTGTGTGTCTCCTGTCTGACCACAACCCCTCCAGCATTTGTCAGATTTTGTACTGTATTTTGTTACCTTTGTTGGGACAACAAAATATTGCATCTTGGATTTCCATTCAAACTCTCTCCATGAAACACTGTTTAACATTTTATGTCCATCTTTAAATGATTTCTCCCAGTTTTCCTCTAATATTGTAAATATTTCTTTCCTTTTTCCTATTTGTCTTTAATGCCCATATTGTTGTCATCTGTATCAATCTGTAGGGTTTTATATATTTTTGAAATGAGTTTTTTAGTGTTACATGTACTTGTCATTAATAATTCTTCTAGATAATTAGGCTGATTACAAATATATTTCCAATCCTTATGTTTCATAAGATAATTTCTGATTTGTAAAAACATATAAAAGTCTTGTGCTTTTACACCAAATTCCTTTTTTAACTGTTCAAAAGATTTCATGTGTTCACCTTCAAAAAGATGCCCGATATAAACCAATCCTTTCTCTTTCCATTTACAAAATCCCCTTCCACTGATGCTGTAAAGTCTGGGTTTAAACCCATTTTAGTGGCCCTACATATTGAATCAGACTTTATTTAAATTTCTTTTACTATAGTCCATATTCTTAATGTTGCTTTAACCCATTCATTTTTGATTTTTAAATCCTTTTGTAATTTCTTTGTAAGAAATGGTAAAGATTCTAGAGGAACCTTTGGGCAGGAGTTTTGCTCCATTTCCCTCCATCCTGTCTCATCATCCTTATCAGTCCAAACTTTTAGGGCTCTTAGTTGTGATGCCCAATAGTATTTTTTAATGTTGGATAAGTTTAGGCCACCCTTTTCTTTAGAGCTCTGAAGTAGCTTGTACCGAATTCTTGGTTTTTGATTTCTCCATAAAAAAATTTGATATGAGTTTATCTATTTTTACGAAAGTTTCTTTAGAGAGCAGAATGGGTAGGGATTGGAACAGAAACAAAAATTTGGGCAAAACATTCATCCTAATGACTTCTATTCGCCCCATTAATGTCAACGGGAGGATTTCCCATCGTTTCAAATCTGCACTTATTTCTTTTATAACTTTCTCATAATTGGCTTTAAAAAGATGTGATGTATTCTTGGTAATATTAATGCCCAAATATCTAAAGCCCTCATCAGTCCATTTGAATTTAACCTTCTCTTTTGTTTCAGAGGGACATGTACCTGATATACTCATAGCTACTGACTTAGATTCATTAATTACATAACCGGAAATTATTTTGGTTGTTTAGACCTGGTTTAATCCTGGTTTAGCCCAAAATTAGAAAACAGGAAAATCCCTCTGTGTAATCCATTTATTTCAACAAAGTAACTGTAATCCAATTACCACTCACTGAAACAGTAACTGTAACTGAATACAGTTACTCATAATTTGTACTCTGATTACATAACTCCAGTACATGTAATCTGTTACTGCTCAACACTGATGACACGTGATAAACAATAACAAATACAGCGAGATGAAAACAGTCGAACTTCAAACTGAGTTAAAAGCCGAAGAGAAAAAGTGAATCTTTCAACTCAAAAACATGGATTAAAATTTCAATGTTGTGACGAGATAAAATCAGTTTCACTTTCAACTGACTCAGCTGAAAAAAAGCTGATCTTCACCACAGAATCAATTTGAGCATCAAGTTTTAAACCCACCAGCGCATTTTCACACCTAAATTTGTCACGACCATAACTGTGATAACATCTACAGACTGGACCAACCACACCGAGAGACGGAGCGGGAGCCCCAGACTGAAACGTGAAGTCCCGCCTCCTCCACGTATGTCTGTATCAATAGTCTCTATGGATACCCGCTTCATTTCTTCTGCATGTCAGAGTCACTGCTATGTGGATAGAAGCAGCAGCTGGACGGCGTTCCAGAGTGAAAAACCCAAAGGAACCGAAAGAACCGTCTGGAAAAGAGGCGCACGATGCAGGTGACCCAGCGCAGAGAGAGAGGTGAGCGTCTGTGTGCTTTTGTGTTTGACTGAAATCTCTCTGAAGGTGTGAGAGTGACTATTACCAACTCTAAAAACTCATCTGGATAGGTTTATCTTATGAGCAAATCAAATTACGCAATTTAACACCACAAAGAGTATATTTTTTATCTAACCTACCTTATTATCAAACAGAAGACGAGCTGAAGTTCTATTATTTCAGATTATATTTGATTTGATGGAGCCTAATATATAAGGATAGATTCTGTAGTAGTAGTAGTAGTAGTAGTAGTAGTAGTAGTAGTAGTAGTAGTAGTAGAAGTAGTAGTAGTAGTAGTAGTTTCTGCTCTGCTCTCTCTGCTGGACACTGCTAAACTCTCCATTGTCTGACACACAGTGGAGCAGATGAACCAGAGGCTAATGCAGCCTCTTCTCTCACTGCACAGAATCAACAGACAAGATCAGCAGCATCACAGTCTGTCACACTGAGCTGCATGTGAACACGGACGACCTGAACACACAGCCCCACGCACACGCTGCACATACACACACACACACACACACACACACATACACATACACACACACACATGTACTACTGCACATACACGTACACACATGTACATACAAGTAAAACTGCACATACACGTGTACACACAACTACTGCACATACATCACAGTCTGTCACACTGAGCTGCATGTGAACACGGACGACCTGAACACACAGCCCCACGCACACACACACACACAAGTACTACTGCACATACACGTACACACATGTACATACAAGTAAAACTGCACATACACGTGTACACACAACTACTGCACATACATCACAGTCTGTCACACTGAGCTGCATGTGAACACGGACGACCTGAACACACAGCACCACACACACATACACACACACGCACACGCAAATGATCTGTCCATGCAGAAAGATAATTTTACTATTTTAAGTCATTTTCCCATAGATTTAACTGTTTATATCTTACGTTTTTTTGCAGTGTACACACAAGTACTACACATACACATGTACACACAAGTACTACACATACACATGTACACACAAGTACTACACATACACATGTACACACAAGTACTACACATACACATGTACACACAAGTACTACACATACACATGTACACACAAGTACTACACATACACATGTACACACAAGTACTACACATACACATGTACACACACAGTACTACACATACACATGTACACACACAGTACTACACATACACATGTACACACAAGTACTACACATACACATGTACACACAAGTACTACACATACACATGTACACATAAGTACTACACATACACATGTACACACAAGTACTACAAATACACATGTACATATAAGTACTACACATACACATGTACACACCAGTACTACTAATACACATGTACATATAAGTACTACACATACACTCGTGTTGTGTTTCTGTGTAACTCGTGTTGTGTTTCTGTGTAACTCGTGTTGTGTTTCTGTGTAACTCGTGTTGTGTTTCTGTGTAACTCGTGTTGTGTTTCTGTGTAACTCGTGTTGTGTTTCTGTGTAACTCGTGTTGTGTTTCTCTTAGGTCCTCGGGGCACAGGAGGTTTTCTGACCACGTTCCTCCTGATGATCTCCTGCTTTAGTCCAGTTTCCCTCTTGACCCCTCCTCCCGCGAGCTCAGCGCTGCAGTCTGCGTTCTCTGCCACGCGCAGCAGCAGTGTGACGGGCGGCCAGCAGAGGGCAGTGACGTTCGACAGACTCACGGTGAACATCGGCGCCGACTTCAGCCCGGACACCGGCTTCTTCCGCTGCCGCATCCCGGGAGCGTACTACTTCTCTTTCTCCGTGGGGAAATTCCCGAAGAAAATGCTGTCTGTGATCCTGGTGAAGAACGGAGCGGAGGTGCAGGCCATCGCCTACGACGATTATCGAAAGAAAGGCCGAAAGGTGCAGAGCCAAAGTGTGATGGTGATGCTGAAGGAGATGGACACTGTGTGGCTGCGCATTCAACAGAGCCCCCAGTACGCCTTATACAGCAACGTGGGTCCGTACATCACCTTCTCTGGGTACCTGGTCTATCCTGAGGCCACCATCAGCAACCACCTGCCCTCCTCCTCTGGGCTCTCCTCCTCTAGACCCTCCTTCTGGACCCTCCTCTGGACCCTCTTCTGGACCCTCTTCCTCTGGTTTCTCCTCCTCTGGTTTCTCCTCCTCTGGACCCTCCTCTAGACTCTCTCCTCTGGACCCTCCTCTAGACTCTCCTCCTCTGGACCCTCTTCCTCTGATTTCTCCTCCTCTGGACCCTCCTCCTCTGGTTTCTCCTCCTCTTCTGGTTTGTCCTCCTCCTCTGTGCTGCCCCCGCCACCCTGCCCCCCTCACACAGACCCTCAGATGGGCCCCTGGAGCGGGCCGGATCAGGGGCCCCGCTCGGCGTTCTCTGTGGCGCGCACCTCCTCCCTGCTGGGACAGAGGCGCCTGCAGGAGCTGAAGCCGGCGCTCACCTTTGACGTGGAGTACGTGAACATAGGAGGACACTTTAACAGAAGCTCGGGCGTGTTCACCTGCTTCCACCCCGGGGCCTATTTCTTCGCCTTCACCGTGGGGAAACACCCTCGGAAGGCGGTGTCCGTGAAGCTGATGAGGGGCCAGGGGGACGTCCAGGCCATGGTGTTTGACGAGGACACGTCCAAGCGGAGGGAGATGCAGAGTCAGAGTCTGCTGCTGTCTCTGCACCGCGGGGACACGGTGTGGCTCTACAGTCAACAGGACGAGCGCTTCGCCGTCTACAGCAACCAGGGACGCTACACCACCTTCTCCGGCTTCCTGCTGTACCCCGAGCCCCAGAGGGCACACGTCACACACGACCCACACGACTCACACAGCGCAGGGGCCCATAACACACACAGCACACACGGCTCACACGGCGCAGGGGCCCATAACACACACAGCACACACGGCTCACACGGCGCAGGGGCCCATAACACACACAGCACCACCGGGGCCCATAACACACACAGCACACATGGCTCACACGGCGCAGGGGCCCATAACACACACAGCACCACCGGAGCCCATAACACACACAGCACACACGGCACACACGACTCACATGACTCACACAGCTCACACGGCGCAGGGGCCCATAACACACACAGCACATACAACACCGGGGTCCATAACACATACAGCACACACGGTTCTGGGGCCCAAAACACACACAGCACACATGGTTCTGGGGTCCAAAACACACACAGCACACACAGAGAAGGGGCCCATAACACACACAGCACACACGGTTCTGGGGCCCAAAACACACACAGCACATACAACACCGGGGTCCATAACACATACAGCACACACGGTTCTGGGGCCCAAAACACACACAGCACACATGGTTCTGGGGTCCAAAACACACACAGCACACACAGAGAAGGGGCCCATAACACACACAGCACACACGGTTCTGGGGCCCAAAACACACACAGCACATACAACACCGGGGCCCATAACACACACAGCACTGGGGCCCATAACACACACAGCATCGAGGCCGATAACACACACCGCACACATGGCTCCGGGGACCATAACACCAGGGCCCAAAACACCAGGGCCCATAAAACACACAGCACACACAGCACTGGGGCTCATAACACTGGGGCCCACAACACACAAAGCACTGGGGCCAATAACACACACAGCATCAGGGTTGATAATACCAAGGCCCATAACACTGGGGCCCTTAACACACACAGCACTGGGGCCCATAACACACACAACACACATGACTCCGGAGACCATAACACCAGGGCCCAAAACACCAGGGCCCATAAAACACACAGCACTGGGGCCCATAACACACACAGCACCAGGGTTGATAACACCGGGGCCCAAAACACACACAGCACTGGGGCCCATAAAACACATAGCACTGGGGCCCATAACACACACAGCACTGGGGCCCATAACACACACAGCACCAGGGTTGATAACACTGGGGCCCAAAACACACACAGCACTGGGGCCCATAAAACACACAGCACTGGGGCTCATAACACACACAGCACTGGGGCCCATAACACACACAGCACCAGGGTTGATAACACACACAGCACCAGGGTTGATAACACCGGGGCCCATAATACACACAGCACTGGGGCCCAAAACACACAGCACCAGAGTTGATAACACCGGGTAACACCAAGGCCCACAGCACCGGGGACCATAACACGCACAGCACACACAGCTCCGGGGCCCAAAACACCGGGGCCCATGACACACACAGCACTGGGCCCCATAGTACCGGGGCCTATAACACACACAGCACACACAGCTCCGGGGCCCATAACACACACATCACACACAGCTCCGGGGCCCAAAACACCGGGGCCCATGACACACACAGCACTGGGCCCCATAGTACCGGGGCCTATAACACACGCAGCACACACAGCTCCGGGGCCCATAACACACACATCACAGGGCCTCACACACAGGACAGAACTGTGCTCTGATGTCGTTTCTCTCTCGTCTGTTTCATGTTTAAAGCTTTAGAAACTCTTATGCCATGTTAGTCCACAAGATGGTGCTATAACACAACAGTGAAATGTTCATATCCACAGAGCTCTTGTGTTTTTACTTTATTTTCTTATCAAATATAGTTTTTATATATAAATGTAGTTATAGTTTCATGCATTCAAGAAGAGTGAAAATAAGAGTGCTGATCGTAGTCACGTCGGTGAAAAAAAAACAAACAAAAAACTTTTTATACTGATTTATACAGTGATTCTTTTGTGTTTTGCATGTCTTATTTTAATAAATAAAATGTATTCAGAATTTTATTAGTCCAACACTGTACATACATACACATATTACAGCACAGGTACGGTTCATTATTTTTCTCTTTAATGACATTTCACTTACACAGACTTCTCCAAAACTCTTACAAAAAGGATTAAAACACAAAACAAAATGACTTTATTTGGTTTAAAGAAAGAAGTCCAGTGTTTAGTCTCTGTGGGAGCACATGCAGTGACAGACAGTGAGTATGAGGTTATTTTTGTCTCATTTATTTATTTATTTTATTTTATTATTATTATTATTTTTTTACAAATAGTTGTGTATTTGTAAATATATATTTTTTTATTTGCAAAAAAAAGTTCGTAAAATGTGATTTGCATTTGTGGATCATCAATTACACGAATTTACAGTTTTCCTCTATGATGTATTTCTGAGACACTGCCCTCTAGTGGACGCCTGTGTATTTGCGCATCTGTCTGTCTGTGGATTTCTCAAACAAGTGTCTCAAAAATACATCATAGAAAAAAGGAAATCTGTGAATTTGTGTAATTGGTGATCCACAAATCCAAACAGAATTTTCAGTTTTACAATTTTTTTTTTTTTTTTTTGCAAATGAAAAAAGATAAATTTACAAATACACAGCTTTTTGTAAAGTTCAAAATACAAGTTACAAATATTAACAAACCAGTGACTAGTTTTAAATCACCCTCTGTGCATTTGTGAATATTAATGAGACAAAAGTGACCCCATAAGTGAGAGACAGGGACAGACAGGGACAGACAGGGACAGACAGGGACAGACAGGGAGAGACAGTGTTGACTTTAGGTTCAGAGAAAACCAGTGTCTGACAAAGTCCATCAGACTGAAGCTCACTGAGGCCGTTCCACCGACTGCACCGTTCTAATGTTTGACCGACAAAGACACAAGCAGCTCTCGTGCTCCAGTGTAAATAAACGAAGCCCCGTTCACACACAGATCCACAAATCCCAGACATTTACCGGGTATGAAACACCAGAACACCAGTCCCAGAACTTTCCCGGGTCTACTCAGGTCTTACTTAAAGACACTGGACATTAGGGTTGGGCGGTAAAACGGTATTACAGTTTCCCGGGGCATCAAAAAGTAGCAATGGTATCAGTTTCATTATCATCATTATAAAAATCTGCAGTGAAGTGAAGTGTTTTCTGCTACGTCAAACGTGTCATAGGTGAATCTGCCGCGTCATCGTTGTAGCAGCTTTAGTTTGTTGTCAGTTTTGTTGTTAGTTTGTTTGGCTTTTTTTTTTTTTTTTAACAAATTGCAGCATATTACAAGGCGACATATACAAGGCCCACACGTCACTCTTAGAAAGTAGAAAGCTCTGAAAAGTTGATTTTGCATGAGATGGGCCCTTTAAGCAAAATAGAGAAAAGCTGCTTAAAACCAAAAAGAAAATGTGACTGTACTGACTCACGTTAGTCATGAAGGTTACAGCCTCATCATCAGAAGATCCACTAGTCAGAAGATCATTCCTCTTCTATTGGTTTGTCAGCAACATTTCTCTTGAACAATTGAATGTTTATTTGATGAAAGCAACAGGGAATAATCCCTGGATATCAGGGAAGAATGAGTAAACTTTTGGATGTTTACCAATTAAAAATGGCTGCAACATCAACATTTTTAGAGATATTGACAGGAAAACACATAATCATGTATAACAGCATGAGCTAAGGCCAGAATTACTTAATTTGTTGGTTTACAAACCCACCAATGCTTATTAAAAGAAAAAGATTTAAAATAAAATTGAAATGAAGGTTGTAGAGCTCGAATTACTGAACATTTTCCAAGTTGTTGCCTGAAAATCAGACAATTATTAACCCTGTTCCACTTAAGACAAACATTTACACCCAAATCATTATTTCCTCAAACATTTTTGCTGTATTTTAAGGGTTTAATATATTTATTACTTTTAATATTTACTTTTTAAAATATTTAAAACTTGAAATACAGTTTCATTTGTAACAAGGCAGCCGCAATTTTGTTTATAAATTAGCAAACCTAAAAGTCAAGGTCACACGTTCAGGAGAATTAACAGACAAATGCACAGAAACAGCATTTAAAGAGACAGGGTTTTGGTGCAACAGGGTTAAGGAGGTAATGAAGTAAAGTGGATTTTTCTGGCTTTTGAATTTTGACCATGTGAAAATTGAAATGGCTGCTGTGACCTTGGAAAATGGATCAAGGTCAAATGGCTGGTATGGGACAAAGGTCATGGTCGGGATAATAATTGTGTGTGAGTGAAAAGGATCTTGTTGTAAAAATCCTTTATATTATAAGCAAATCTAGTGCCCACTGAAATGCATTGGAAAAGTGAACTTTGCCCTGTAAAGATCCACAAAGTCACTGTGACATAATTCAAGAACTGGAAAGAGCTTTTACCCTAAAGTATGTAAAGACATTCATATGGACTCTGTAAGTCAAACAGTCTAGATTTGTCCAGCCATGGTTAACGGACACACAGAGACGGACGGACGGACGCGGGACAATGGGTGATTGCATAAGCTCAGCTTGAGTTTACAGCTCACAAGCTGAGCTAAAAATGCCTTACAGTTGGTCCTTTTCAATACGACCAGGCGGGATCCCCAGAGCAGGAAGCATTTTTATGACACGCCTAAATAGTACATAAACTTTGAGCTGAGCTAAAAATATCAAGGCCTCTTATTTTCAATTTGTTCACAAAATTGGAAGTTCGTATAAAAATTAACTTTGTGGTGAAAATCTGGAAAATACCCTACAAGATCTGTGGTCTACTGAAAACACGACCTGAACATGGATTTTCTGACTAGAGGCTCTTCTGATGATAAGACTGACCCCGTCATGAACGGGCCGAGTGCAGAGCAGTTTTCCTTTACGCACTTGTTTCACTATTTTATTATTACCAACCACCACAAACCAGTTTTTTATTTTCAAAATCTGGTCACCCTATTCAATTCTGTCAACTGGGCAAATGTTTTTTGATTGAATGTGGCCTTTAAAACCAAGGAACCAAAAGTCTCCACTGAATGAACTGTACCAGTTCTTACCAAACCTTCTACGTTTCGGTGCCAGGCTCTAATCAGAAATGCAGGACAATCCGCTCTGGTTTCATTCACACACGACCCGGTTCTGGTTGTGGTGAGACTGTGTGTGAACGGGGCTGTTCAGAATCACTGTACGTCCCAGATCTCACAGAGCAGAGGCGTAAACTTGTGATCGTTGACTCTCCAGGACGTGATGATCTCGGCGTGGTAGTGGTTGAGGCTGCGCAGTTCGGTGAGGCGTCCCAGTAAACGGGCGAAGTACTGGGGCTCGTGAGGATGGTGAAGGGCGCAGAGCTTCCTGAGGACCTCCAGCATGGGCTCCTGCAGCCGCTCCACCGCCGCCTGGTCCTTCACGTACGGACGATCTGAAACAACACAAGGCACCGTCAGGGGTTGGCTCGGTTTAGTCCAGAGCAGCAGTGGAGCCACACGAGAAACAGAAAATACTGTGGAGGTTAAGTAATCAGAGTACAAATTATGAGTAACTGTATTCAGTTACAGTTACTGTTTCCATTCAAAGTAATTAGATTACAGTTACTTTGTTGAAATAAATGGATTACATGGTGGTATTTTCCTGTTTTCACATTTTGGGCTAAACCAGGACTAAAACCAGGACTAAACCAGGTCTAAACTAGGACTAAACCAGGTCTAAAACCAGGACTAAACCAGGTCTAAACTAGGACTAAACCAGGTCTAAAACTAGGACTAAACCAGGTCTAAACTAGGACTAAACCAGGTCTAAAACCAGGACTAAACCAAGTCTAAACTAGGACTAAACCAGGTCTAAAACCAGGACTAAACCAGGTCTAAACTAGGACTAAACCAGGTCTAAAACCAGGACTAAACCAAGTCTAAACTAGGACTAAACCAGGTCTAAAACTAGGACTAAACCAGGTCTAAAACCAGGACTAAACCAGGTCTAAACTAGGACTAAACCAGGTCTAAAACCAGGACAAAACCAGGAATAAACCAGGACTAAACTAGGACTAAGAAATATGACACTAACAGTAGGTGGACATAATTTAAAGCAGCAGTGATCTTATACATAAATCATTTCTCTATCAATAATATTTTTAATCTGCTTAAGGAAAGTCTGGACTTTTTATTGTCTGTTAGCAGATAAAACATATGTTAAAATATCCTCGTCTTTGCTTCTCTACAATAAAACAAAAGTCTGTTCATGGAGACTTGGGCTCAACAGACAATTTGAAGAGAACAAACATGAATTTTCAGGATGTTTTCGCTTTGTTCATGTAATTTTAAAAAACATGACAATATCAAGTAATCCAAAGTATTCAGATTACATTACTCACTTTAAGTAACTCAGTGGATTATGTTACAAACTACATTCGGGAGGATGTAATCTGTAATCTGTAGGGGATTACATTTTAAAAGTCACCTTCCCAACACTGCCTGTCAATTTGAGCTACCTATCGCTACTGCGCACAACTCCCAGGCACTTTTAGAGTTTAAACGCTGTCGATTTGAGCTCCTGAAGCAGAAGTTTAGTAACAAGTCGCATTTTAAAGGTGTATTGGTTTTATTTTCTGTTTTGAGCAGTTAAGCTTCGACATGTGCGTGTAAGATTTGCGGCACAAAACTTACGTTAGATGATTGAATAGTCAGGATTTAATATTTGATTTTATTTTGTTTCCACGTGTAGAAAACGTTGTAACTTTGTTTAGAAAGGCCCTGTATAAATAAAATATCACTATATTATAATAGGAAATTCACACTGTAGCCTACGATATTTATTTAATATAAAGATTTCAGTGTTTCCAGTCATTTCTTTCTCTCTTTCATTCACATAAATGAGTTGAAATTTGACATAACTAAGGTATAAAGTGTCACCGATCACCACGTGCAAACAGACTCAAACCGACTCTAATCCAAAGAAATGTGTGTCAAACTGGGGATTTCAGGTTTATTGGATCTATACAACTGTACATGGAAAAACATAAGGTCGCTTATTTCAACCGGGCAGCGTGAATTGATAGACGTCATTGTCGATTTAGGCTGCTGGGAGCTCATTTCGATGAGGCAGCCCATTTCGACAGAACACCAGGCCAAATGCTTAACTCAATTCTGCATAATATTAACTAATTACAGGTGGTTTTATAGCTCGAAAACACCTCAAAAAACAGACTTTCTGACTGTGAGCGGGGGTCGCCTCTCCACAGATCTGACCTGTAACGTGGTCTGGTTTGGTCTACGTGGAGATAGAAAGGTTTAATACTGTGAAACATTCCAGACAAAGCAATAATGTCTCCATGGAGAAAACAATTTGACGGACTCTCCACTAGAAAGTTACTCAATGCAGCTTTCAGTTTCAGGTGTTGTAAAAGTTATTTTTTTTTGCTCGACCTGTAGTTAACTTCACATTTTACACCCACGTGACTCTTTTGACCCACGGGGGCAAACTTAAAGGTCCTTCTAGACGTGAACAGAGACACTTACCTGGTGTTAAGATGGTGACTGCGGTGAGGAGGGCCTGTTCTTCTGGAGACATGAGCAGCTCTCCTATACTTTTGTAAAAGTTGAACATTGGTTTGATGAACTCCTCGGAGATCCCTGGAGAAGAGACAGAGAAGAAGGTTTGAGTTTGTCTGAGCAGCCAGTCGCTTCCATGTTCTGTTCAAATCCAGACGGGACTCGAACTGGACCATAGAGAGCCAAAGATGTTCATTTTGTCTTCTGACGTACTTTCACTTCTAAGGTTCTTTTTCAAGACAAAACAGTAAAGTGTATTTATCTTATTGACATGTTTCAGCTGCTGCATCGTCAGAATTGTCCCGGGTGTTGGTGTTGACGTGTCGTATATCAGCTGTTGTTACTTCCTGTAGGCGTGGTCAGACCTGATGGACCTGCAGGTCGCTCAGACTGACCACGCCTCCCGTCGCCCGGTGTCTCTGGAGGAGGGTGTCCCAGGTTTGTGAAAGGAGGAACGCTCCGTCATCTCGGGTAAACCTGTCTGTGCCTCGTTTCTTGATTTCACCGTCCTCCTTGATCCAGAGTTTGAACTTGTTGTTTTCCGATCCAACGACCCTGAGCCCCGTTCCAATCCAGAATGTGGTTATTTCTTTTACAGTGTCTGATATGATGGATTTTAGGGTTTCCTGTTCTGCTTTGTCTTTTTGTGTTCTGGTGAGTCTCCCTGATGGTTCAGTTTCGCATTCCTTTTGGTGTTCCTTTTTTCAAATGTGGAATGCCCGGCCAGTTTCCCCTACGTATGATTTATTGGATGATGCATAGGGGAAACTGGCCGGGCATTCCAAAACCACCATATCAGACACTGTAAAAGAAATAACCACATTCTGGATCGGGACGGCGCTCGGGTCGTTGGATCGGAAAACAACAAGTTCAAACGCTGGATCAGGGAGGACAGTGAAATCAGGAAATGAGGCACGAACACTCGGACAGGATTAACCGAGATGACGGAGCCTTCCTCCTTTCACAAACCTGGGACACCCTCCTCCAGAGACACCGGGCGACGGGAGGCGTGGTCAGTCTGAGTGACCTGCAGGTCCAAAAGACTGACCACACCTACAGGAAGTAACAACAGCTGATATACGACACGTCACCACCAACACCGGGGACAATTCTGAAGATGAAAGCAGCAGCTGAAACATGTCAACAAGGTAAATGCACTTTACTGTATTGACTTGAAAAAGAACCCAAAGAAGTTAATGGACCATAGAGCGTGAAAAATCTCCGTCCAAACTTCAGACGGTCCAACCACAAGCACGTGTCTCTCAAAGGCAGAAGACATCTCTCGTAACATCCTGAACAAACATAAATATAATGTCTTTCTTACATAACTCTGCACTTTGAGCCAGACCATACAGGCTACAGCAAACACTGAAATCTGAAATCTACACCACAAACAAATACAGATGTTCTCAGGAGAATTAAAGCTGTTCAACTTAAATCACAATTAACACGTCACAACTGCAAGAATTTAAAAGTCCAATATCACACAAAACGGACTCTTGTGAGGTTTAAGTCGTGTTCTAATGTTGTTCCCTCCTCAAAAACAGAGCTGGAGTTTTGTTTTGTTTCATTCACACATGTTTGAGTAACTCTGTATTATTAGTCTGTCTACATCTCCAAAGCTCAAAGCTCTGCTCCACCTTGTGATGTCACGAAGCGGTAGTTTTCAAGTTAGTAACTACCTTTTACCTTTAGTTTCATTCTTTAGTTTAGTTGTCTATAGACTTTTTTCACAGTGGCTGTAAATTTATGATTTTCTGTGGCAAAATGTGTGTGTAAATAAATGTGTGTGTAAATGAGTGTGTAAATGTGTGTGTAAATGTGTAAATGTGTGTGTAAATGTGTAAATGAGTGTGTAAATGTGTGTAAATGTGTGTGTAAATATGTAAATGAGTGTGTAAATGTGTGTGTAAATGTGTAAATGAGTGTGTAAATGTGTGTGTAAATGTGTAAATGTGTGTGTAAATGTGTAAATGAGTGTGTAAATGTGTGTAAATGTGTGTGTAAATGTGTAAATGTGTAAATGTGTAAATGTGTGTGTAAATGTGTGTAAATGAGTGTGTAAATGTGTGTGTAAATGTGTAAATGTGTGTGTAAATATGTAAAAGAGTGTGTAAATGTGTGTGTAAATGTGTGTGTAAATGTGTGTGTAAATGTGTAAATGTGTGTGTAAATGTGTAAATGAGTGTGTAAAATGTGTGTGTAAATGTGTAAATGTGTGTGTAAATGTGTGTGTAAATGTGTGTGTAAATGTGTAAATGTGTGTGTAAATGTGTAAATGTGTGTGTGTGTGTAAATGTGTAAATGTGTGTGTGTGTAAATGTGTGTGTAAATGTGTAAAGTGTGTAAATGTGTGTGTGTGTAAATGTGTGTGTAAATGTGTAAATGTGTGTGTAAATGTGTAAATGTGTGTGTAAAGTGTGTGTAAATGTGTGTGTAAATGTGTGTGTAAATGTGTGTGTAAAGTGTGTAAATGTGTGTGTAAAGTGTGTAAATGTGTGTGTAAATGTGTGTGTAAATGTGTAAATGTGTGTGTGTAAATGTGTGTGTAAATGTGTGTGTAAATGTGTAAATGTGTGTGTAAATGTGTGTAAATGTGTGTGTAAATGTGTGTGTAAATGTGTGTAAATGTGTGTATAAATGTGTGTGTGTGTAAATGTGTGTAAATGTGTGTGTAAATGTGTGTGTAAATGTGTGTGTGTGTGTAAATGTGTGTAAATGTGTGTGTAAATGTGTGTATAAATGTGTGTGTAAATGTGTGTGTAAATGTGTAAATGTGTGTAAATGTGTGTGTAAATGTGTGTAAATGTGTGTGTAAATGTGTGTGTAAATGTGTGTATAAATGTGTGTGTAAATGTGTGTGTAAATGTGTGTAAATGTGTGTATAAATGTGTGTAAAAATGTGTGTAAATGTGTGTAAATGTGTGTGTAAATGTGTGTAAATGTGTGTGTAAATGTGTGTGTAAATGTGTGTATAAATGTGTGTGTAAATGTGCGTCTGCACTATCACCAAATCTTCAATGAACAAGCTCCACAAAGGATAAACATTCTAACACAGGCATGTCCAAACTATGGCCCGTGGGCCAAATGCGGCCCTCAGACAAATTTTTCTTGTTGCCCTCAGGCTTTTTTTCCAGGAGAATTGGCCCAAATGACCTTGCAATAAGCTAAATGAAAAATTTACTTTTTATTACAGGTGAAAATGTACCTTGATAAAGCCAGTATTTAACATTTAGTGTGTGGTTTAAAGGATCTTAGCGTAAATAAAGACTGACGGCTCATTCAAATGTGTTAAACCTGCACATATTTCAATTATTCACTGTATTTAGCACCAGTCTATGGCCCTTGATCGTCCCTCTGCTTCGTCTGTGTTTAGATATGTGGCCCTTGATGAAAAAAGTTTGGACACCCCTGCTCTAACATGAACATGTCAATTTGCCAACTGGACAAATTGTTGACAAATTGAAATTGAACTGAAGAAGTGGTTTGGATGAGCTGCGAAACGTACACACGCATCAAGAATCTCAGACGTCCGGTCACTGCACAGTTCATACTGGGGAGGATTTTCCGAGAAAGTGAGCATCAAACCTCCATGTTTGTTTTCCCAGTGGGATGTGTCTTTTGTCAAAGTCGATCTTTTCAAGTCTTTTGAACCATATCACTTTTGTTTCTGGTTCTGATATTGTCATATTTTAGTTTTGGGATTCGGACATAGTTAATTGTGTGGTTGTTGGATCCAAACAGCGGAAAACGGCTCGAGAAATTTGTTTGCAGCGAACATTTTGTATGTGGAGCGACAACAAAACAAAATCCCGTTTGTTAATGTAGAGGAGCAGAAGACAAACAGACTGAGCTGCACTTTCTTGTTCTTGTGGTTTTACAGAAACATCACGTCTTGGTCTCTTTGCAGTGGAAGGTGTTTCTTGGTGAACAGTTGGTGCCTTTCACTTTGGCGTTGACTTTTTAAATTCGTAACCAAGGTTGAGCGAAGGATCGGGATTTTGTTTTGTTGTCGCTCCACATACAAAATGTTCTCTGCAAACTCAGGATGATTTCTTAGACAGACAAACGTTTCCTTTTTGGTTCTTCCTGTGGATCAATCCTGCCCATCGCCTTCACCTTTCACTATTTTTCAATTCCGTTGGGAAGAGAAACAGTTTGAACGGAGGTTTGAGTCACACACATCTGATTCACTTTTGCATTTATGGAGTTCACAAACACATTTCTCGAGCCGTTTTCCGCTGTTCGGATCCAACAACCAAACAATTATGACATCCGAATCCCAAAACTAAAAAAATGACAATATCAGAACCAGAAACAAAAGTCTTCATCAGCTGAGGGTTTCAAAAAACAACATCCTTTGGAATACGGAAAACCAGCGCCATCTATGGGTGAAATATCTGGTGCTACAACTGAAGGAAAATAATAGTTTTCTGGTTTTAAATAACAAATACATACTTTTAAATATTAACATGTAATAACAAATTAATTGACCATGTTTTCTCAACCTTTTTAAACTAAATATTCAACACCACATCAGAAAAGTTACACAGTTGACCTTGACATGGGCCTAGTCCTCTGCAGACGGCACAGTCTCTCATCTCCACGGGTTCATATCTCATTGAAAAGCTGCTAATCCTGTGGTTTAGTCCTGCACAAACACACTCTGAAACGCCTATGATTCTTATATTTCAGTCTTCTCAAATGTTAATTGTAACCTGGGTGAAAAAACATTAATAATTCATAATATTTCGCTGTCCTCGTGTGATTGTGTCACCGCCTGCACGACTGCATCGCCCGGTTATGTGACTAAGCACGGACCAATCCTCCAGTAATATAACCTGGTACTGACAGTCTAACGCCGGAGTGAACAGGACACGCTGAGGAACATTTTTGCTGAAGTAGCCAAATACCGGTGCAGGCCTCGAAACAGAGTCCTGCAGTCGATAAACTACTGGACTGACCAGGTCTCTTTTGATGGAAAGCTAACAAAGAATGAGAACTAAAGAACTGTAAACGTTAAAGTCTCTCAAACTGGACTCTTCCCCCTGGACACTGCGAACAGTTTTCCAATTGTTTCT